GTCCTGGTACGACGGGCAGAGACCGGCTTGGCCGCCGCGGCAGACCGGGCGCGTGCCATAGTTGGGCGTGCACTTGCCCTGCGAGTAGTCGCCAGCCAGGATCTGGACACAGACGGTGCCGGGAAAGCTTGTGCAGTCTGCGTCACTCGAACAGACGCCGTTAAAGCGGTCGCGGGTTGGCACGGGTGCCTTGGTGGTCGTCGCCGCCGACGCGAGCGCGATGGCACCTACGAGCGCGAGGACCCTCATGTCGGTCCGAACAAAAAGACAAACTGAACAGCGTCGGTCCTATCTAACAACGACGTCGGTCCTATCTAACGACACCGGCTGCGGGCTGGGCTGAGCTCGCTCGGCTCGCGCCATACAAACCGTCCGTTCCTAGTCTATTTGCTATTACGTCGCATGTTCCACGACGTTACGCACGATCTTCTGCGTCGCCAGGAACTTGATGTGAAGTCGCGAGCCAATCACAAGCCTCCGCTCCGAAATGGCGTGCACCGATCACTTGACGTCCAAGAAGCCGTACGTACGCTTTAGCTTAACGTTTGTATGAATGTACAATGTACAAGTACAGTCCGAACGGGCAAAACAAATAGCCTAGTTTCAAAACAAATATCCTCGTTTAGGACCCGTCCTAGGGTTGGGCGACGCCAGGACTTGGGACTTGCCCGGTTGGATCGACCCAATTGCACAAATTTGGCGCCCATCGACGGGCTCGCATTCATTAGCCGAGCGGAAGAGAGACGACGACGGCGCCTTCACTACGATGGCGGCCAGAGAAGCGACGCACATCTCTACACAGCCGGCAACGGCTTCAATAAGAACGTATCGCCTGCAAGACGGCGAGATCCTGTGCAGCGACGTGCGCAAATAGACATGCGACCTCCGAGTGGGCGCACGTTCTGTTGCAGCACTGCGCAACGAAGCTCCATATCGTGATCTGCCAGCACGCGCCGTCACGCGAACGAGCGCAGTTGGCACCATCGGCGTGCGAGGCGCAATGCGTGCACAACGCAGACCGCTTGCTTTCGGCAGGTTTGGCTCGCCACCAACAAGATGTCGTAGCTTCAAGGCGAGCGATTGAGACAATAGAGGTAGTACTTAGGAATAATGGGCGGAGTTAGTTGGCGCCGTCGGCCGCCATCATGAGCGTGATGGTATCGCCCTTGAGCAGGATGCGGCCGAGGGGCGTGCGCTTGAGGTTCTTGACGTCGAGCTCCTCGGCGTCGTCCAGCACAAGGTTCATGTACTCGTCAAAGCCCATGATGCGGCCTTCGATGCGCGTGTTGACCTGCTCGTACAGCCAGATCTGGACCCGCGCTTTCTACAAGAGATGATGCATGAGACGAGGAAGGTCATGGAGAGCGCTCGCGTACGTTCTGGAGGAAGCGGAAGATCAAGTTGATCGGCTGCGTCATGGGCTTCTGGACCTTGTTCATCGTCGCCGTCGTCGCTGCCGTCGGCCGCTGATTTTCGAATTTGCCAAACCCCACAGCCACTCGACCAATCCAAAATAAAAACCAGACAGCCAATCCAAGCGCTCCATATCTTGCTTTTCAGCCAATCCAACCTCGTGATGGACAATGCCTTGCCCCAGCTTGGATTTCCCGTCCTGTTTATCTTGCTGTTTGTAGCAAAATACCGTATTTCGCAAAATGGCCATCATTTTTACGTAAAACGAAGCCACTTCAAATTGGAAATCAAATATCCAAGTCGGTTCGAGCCTAAACTTAGATGAGCACGACAGAGCCGCCACCGAGCTCGCCGTCGTCGTCGACGCGGGCGTCCATGAGCAGCGACGTCGAGGTGCCCGTGTCCCCGCCATCGGCGCCCGGCGGATGGTACCAGCGCATGGAGAAGGTCAAGAGCTCGGCGATGGCGGCCAAGAACCACCTTACGCCCCAGCTCCTCCAACTCAAGGACAAGATCAGTAGCAAAGCCACGTCCGCTGCAACAACGGGCCGCGAGAAGCTGCGCAACACGAGCGTACCAGAAGGCCTCCAGCCAGCGCTCGTGCGCGCGAAGGAGGGCATGAGCATCCTCAAGACAAAGCTCTCCTACTCGTCGGTCCAAGTCCAGATCCAGGCCGAGCGGTTCCAAGCCATGGGGCTTCGCCTCGTGACCGAGATGATGTCGGACTCGCAGATGATCGTCTTCATTGACGAAGAATCGTTCGGCCATGCGACGGCCTTTCTCGAGCGTACGAACAACTCTTGCACGGCTCGATCCTGCACCTTGTGTGCTTTCTAGAGTACCGCCATGTGAAGAGCGTTTTGCTGACGCACGACGGAGCGCCGAGTGCCATCTGCTGGGACACGCCCATCGTTCTCTACACGATCCTCACGTATCTCGGAAGGTACAGTATCACTCGCGTCTGACCCTCTGAACTATGAACTAGTGTGCAAACCGTCGCACAGTGCACGGGCCTCAACTTGGCAACGCGCCGCCACATCCACGCCGAGCGCCACGTGTGGCGCTACTGCGTCCGCTACGGCGAGCTCTCGCCCCAAGTGCGCATCGGCTTTTGGAGCCACCTCACGAGGTGCGGCCATTTCGTTCTTCCTATCTTTCAACATACGACACCAGTGTCGAGGCAACGCGCGCGGCGGCCGAGCACGACTACGACACGTACCTGCAGATGGCGCTGTCCAAAGGCGAGTGGACCGACGCGATCCAGACTGATGTCACGCGCACGTACGGGCGTGTTGCGCCCCATCGCCGGTATGTAGCAGTCGCGTTGACGGCGGCAGCGGCCTCTCACACGACGCTAGGTCGTCCAACGACTGGACCGCGTCGATCGATACGGACGAAGAGCTCCAGACGCAGCTCGGCGCGATCTTGCACGCGCTGGCAGGTCGATTCCCCGACGTCGGGTACTGCCAGGGCATGGACTACATCACGGCGCACATCCTGGAGCACGTCAAGGCCGCCGACCGCAAGGTGGCACAAGCTTCTGCGGTAAAGCTCATCGGTTGGTATAGTTTGGCGAGGCGTCGCCACAGAAGCGCGCCGCTGCGACCCAAGTCCAAGTCGAAGCGACCTTCTGGATTCTCGTCGCGCTCTTTGAAAGCTACGGGCTCCGGCAAATGTTCAGTCCGGGCCTCACGCGCCTCCACCTGCACTGCTACCAGTTCCGGTGCCTCTTCCAAGCCGCGCTGCCCGCCCTCTACGACCACTTTGAAGCCGAGCACGTCATGGTCGAGATGTACATTGTTGGGTGGTTCCAAACCCTCTTCCTGTACCTCAACGCGCTGCCCAAGGAGACGCTGGACGCGATCTGGGACATCTTTCTCTTTGAGCGCAGCTGGAAAATCATGTTCCGCGCCGCGCTTGGCATGCTCAAGCTCGCCGAGCCCCACTTGATGGGCAAGTCCATCGACGAGGTATCTTGCTCGAGTGAAAACACTATGGAAGTTGAGTCTGTAGATGATGGTGTTTCTCAACACATTTGGCGACAACCCGAGCATTCTGCACAAGACGACGCTTCTCCCGACAGCGCTCTCGATCAAAGTGACCAACGCGATGCTGAAGAAGCTCGAGCGCGACCACGCCAAGGGCGTCACCCGCCGTCGCAGCGTCTCGGCGCCAAAGCAGCAGCAACAACAATAAGAATAAGCATATCTAGCATGAACCTTCGACGTTTTCACGTGCGAAACGTATGGATCCGGGCGACGGCTACTGCCTCGACATGGGTAGAGCTACGTAGAGTGCAAACGTGGAGGTGACCAGCACGTAGACGACGACGACGGTGGCTGCACCGACCTCTTGACAGGTGTCGATGCGCTCTTGACTGCTCTCCGCCTTTGCTGTCAAGACGGGCTGCTGTCCGAGTACTCGCCCGAGAACGAGACGCTGCTGGACACCACAGCTGCCATATTTTGGAACGTCGCCACCCTCTGCGAAGACCTGGGTTGCGTCTTGCTCTTTGACGACATCTCTGTCGTAGTCAATGACGACGCGCTGCCACCCAGCCCAAGAGAGACAGACGAAGCTCATTCCGAGAGACCTACCCTGGCCGTCTCAGACGCCATTCGTGCAGAGACCGTGACGCTGGCGCGACTTCGCGGCCGATCACTTCATGTACGACGATAAACAGGGCTCAGTCCGGGCTCTGTGACCGAAGCTCATTCGGGTTCTTTTTGTGGTTAGACCTCTTCCTCCAAGCCACCAATAGCCACCACAACGCTGCAGGCGCGCTTTGCTACCCTCCGTTCCCGCCGACGAGCCACGACGACTTCTCTCGACTTGATAGCGCCGCCCGTCGTCGCTGCCCGCCCCATCGCAACACCTGCCAGTAACTGCAGTCGTCGTCGTAGCAGTAGTAGCAGTAGTAGCAGTAGCAGTAGTAGCAGCGACGAGGACGAAGCGCGGCTTCCACTGTCGCCTCGTCTCCGCAGTGTCCTGATGGACTCGTATTTGAATCGCTAACAGGTGCGTCTTCGAAAGATTGCGTCCCAAGTGCAACTTGAAACCGCTAGAAAGGCCCACCCTAGCCCTGCTTCAAGATCGCAACCATACAAAGCTCCTGTGGCGCAGTACGGTGTAGTGGGCCAAGCTCCACACCACCCGTGCCGCTCGTTCCATTTTCATTTTCACTTTTGACGCATCAACGAGAAGCAGATGTATCGCAGTGTCGTTGCGCTTTGGTGCATAGCTGTCTCGGCCGTCGCAGCGACGCCGCTCACGTCGCAGGCGGCAGCCCATCAAATCCACGCGTTGCCGCACTACGACGCCAAGCATCCGATCGACTTTCGCCACTTTGCCGGCCATCTCGCGCTGCCCTCGAACAGCCAAAAGATGTTTTACTGGCATGTTGAATCGCAGTCGGCGCCGTCGACCGACCCTCTCGTGCTCTGGCTCAACGGCGGGCCTGGCTGCTCGTCGCTCGGCGGCTTCTTCACTGAGATCGGGCCGTTCGTCGTCCAGCGCGGTCTCAACGTCAAGCGCAACCCGTACACGTGGGCGCGCAAGGCCAACTTGATCTTTCTCGAGTCGCCATCGGGCGTTGGTTTCAGCACGCCCGTGCTCAATGCGACCGAGTACAACGACGACGTGACGACCGACCGCGCGTACGAGTTCCTGACGCAGTTTCTTGGCACGTACCCGCACTTGAGCGGCCGCGACTTTTACATCACGGGCGAGAGCTACGCCGGTGTCTACATCCCGTACCTCGTCGCGAAGCTCGTGTCGGCGCCGATTCCCGGCATTCACCTCAAGGGATACGCGATTGGGAACCCGTTCACGGACGCCAAGATCGACGGCAACGCCTACATGGACTACTACTACGCCCACGCGCTCATCTCGATGGAGAGCTACGACGACATCGTCGCTTCCTGCGCAGACGAGCTCTCCGAGTGCATGTTCTCGACGGCCAACTGCTCGGCGGCGTGCCAAGACGCGGTGGCGAGCACGCCGATCACGTCCGACGCGTCCTACTTCAACCCATACTACATTTACGGCGACGTGTGTCTCATCACGAACGGCCAAGGCGACTTGCTGCACCTCCACCGCGCGCGGAGCTTGCAGCCCATGCACCGCGGCAAGGTCGGGCCGTGCACCGACCGGTACACGCAAGACTATCTCAACCTCAAGAGCGTGCAGGTACGTGCGGAGTCATGCAGTGCCATGCGCATCCGCCAACGTAGAGAGCGCTTCACATCGAAGGCGACGTCACATGGAGCGACTGCAACATGAACATTGCCGAGGTCTACAGCCGGGCATCGTCGGCGTTGCCCAAGTACGAACGCATCCTCTCCTCTGGTACTCGCGCAGCTCTAATCTGTTGCTAAGCGTTGTGAGCAGATATCTCGGCACTCATCTACAGCGGCGACGCGGACGCGGTTGTCAACTTCATTGGCACCGAGCGCTGGATTGGGCGCGCCGACGGACTGCACCTCAACGTCACGTCGCCCTGGGCGGCGTGGTTTGGCCCTGACAAGCAGCTCGCGGGCTACTCGCAAGACTACGAGCACCTCACGTTCAAGACCGTCAAGGGGGCCGGCCACATGGTCCTATACACACTTGCTTTGAGCTGGACAACTCATGTCCATCAAATGCAGGTGCCCGCGATTCGACCACTCCATGCGCTCTACATGTTCGAGTGCTTTGTGTACGGCCAAGCGAATTGCGATACATTTGCGTACCCCAAGGACAACTTGGAGTATTTGACGGGCGCCGAGCAGCCGAGCGACAGCGATTCGATCGTCGTGACCGCCGGCTTGCGTGCGTCGACGTCGTCATCGGCCTCGTCGAACTGGGCCATGCTTCTGGGCACGCTCTCGGGCGTAGCATGCTTCAGTCTTCTCCAAGTGCTGTCGACCCGCCGGACGCGCGCCACGTACCACGACCTGAGCCAGCGCATGGAAGCGCACCGCGTGTATTAGTATAGTCAAGTTGCATAACGCGTGTTGCATTTTGTCTATGATGGTTTACCGACCGACGAGGAAGTGGAAGACATCGCCGTCCTGGCAGACGTAGTCCTTGCCCTCGGACCGGACGAGGCCCTGGTCGCGGGCCGCCTTCATGCTCCCGGCCTTCGTGAGCGCGTCAAACGAGACCGTCTCGGCGCGAATGAAGAGCCGCTCAAAGTCCGAGTGGATGACGCCGGCCGCCATCGGCGCCGTCGCGCCTTGCGGGATGTTCCACGCGCGGGCTTCTTTCTCGCCGACCGTGTAGTAGCTCTGCAGCTGGAGCAGCTTCTGCGACGCCCGGATCACGCGCGTGAGGCCCGTTTCTTCGAGGCCGCCCATTTGCAGATACTCCATCTGGCTCGCCTCGTCCTCAAAGGCCGACGCGGCTTCTTCGAGGGCGCCGGAGACGGTCAAGCACATGCTGCCTTCGGCTTCGACCTGCTTGCGAACGGCCTCAGTCATCTCGTTGCCCGAGGCTGCGTCATCTTCCGAGACGTTGCAGAGGTACATGGCCTTCTTGGCCGTGAGGAGCTGGAGTCGGTCAAACTGCACCTGCTCCTCCGGGATGTCGAAACTCAGGTTGGCGATCGAGACGCCTTCTTCGAGGAGCGGCTGCACACGCTCAAGGACGACGCCGAGGCTCTGGAGGCCGGGCTCGGTGGACTTTTTCTTCTTCTTGAGCGTCTCGAGGCGGCGCTCGACCGTCTGCAGGTCGGCCAGCAGCAGCTCCGTGCGGATCGTGTCGAGGTCCCGGAGCGGGTCGACGCTCTCTTCGACGTGGAGGATGTTGATGTCCTCGAAGCAGCGCACGACGTGCGCAATGACAGCGACTTGGCGAATGTTGTCAAGAAACTTGTTACCTAAGGAAGAGAGGCTGAGAAAGCTCATCGGATCGTCGTCGGTCGGGTACCCAAGCCTTCGCCCTTGGACGCGCCACGCACAAGACCGGCAATGTCGACAAACTCGAGCTGCGTCTCAATGACCTTTTGCGAGTTCTCCATCTTGGCCAGCGCATGCACGCGCGGGTCCGGGACGCCGACGCGGGCGACGTTGGGGTCGATGGTGCAGAACGGGTAGTTGGCCGCCTGCGCCTGCTCCGTGCGCGTGAGCGCGTTGAAGAGCGTCGACTTGCCGACGTTGGGCATGCCCACGATGCCCACGGAGCGGTGGAAGCGGCGCGCGAGATGCGCTTGGAGCGCCGGCGTCGACCGCTGGGTCAGCTGGAGCATCATCGTAAGAGTGATGGCCCAGGAATGCGCAGGAAATCCAGGTCACTGGACCGGCCAGAAACACGCGCACGCACACTGTGTATAAAAACACCCAACTATTCCATTATGCCAGCTCTATCACGTTCGATTTGTAACGAAAAGTGGCGTGCTTTTATCCTGTACCCACCCCTGGGCGAAACGGCGACTTGGTGTTTGTATTGCAGTGTTGCGCTCGTCTGGCGATTGCGGTCACGCGACGGACCCTTCATACTCCAACATACGTGTTCGATGATCGAAGGAGTGAGCCCCGTCTTCCAGGCCTTCCTTGGCACGCTCGTGACATGGGGTCTCACCGCCGCCGTACGTCTTCATGGTCAATGCAGTGGCTCTAGACTTGTCGCCTCTAGGGCTCGGCGCTCGTCTTCGTGCTCGACGTCGAGAACAAAGAGCTGAGCCAGAAGATCCTCGACTCGATGCTGGTATCATGCATGGCCAGGTCGCGACGATGCCTCATTCGCCGTAGGGTTTTGCCGCTGGCGTCATGCTCGCCGCCTCGTACTGGTCGCTCCTCGCGCCCGCGATTGAGATCGCCGAAGAGTCGCCGCTGTACGGGCCCGAGGGTCGCTGGGCGTTTGTGCCCGCCGCCGTGGGCTTCGCCTTGGGCGCGGGGTCAATGCTCTTGACAGAGCATGTGCTGCCGCTCCTCGGCCTCGACACGAAGCCGGAAAGCTGGGACAAGAAGGACGACGATCTCAAGGTGTCGGCGGTGACGCCCGACAAGACGCGGTCGACAAGCTCGGACGGGCTGCGTCGCCGCAAGACGAAGAAGAACGACGCGCCGGATGATGAGGCGCCGTCAAAGCAAGACGACGCTGTCCACGACGACGCGATCCAGAGCTTTGTCTCGGCCAAGGACATGAGCTTTCGCCGCGTCGTCCTCCTCGTGATTGCCATCACGATGCACAACTTCCCCGAGGGCATGGCCGTCGGCGTCGGCTTTGGCAGCATCGGGCACACGTCGTCCGCGACCTTTGGCAACGCCGTGAACCTCGCGATCGGCATTGGTAGCCTCTTCGGTTCCGTAGCTTGAATGCTCAGGGGCCATCATTAGGGCTTCAGAACTTTCCCGAGGGCCTCGCCGTCTCGATGCCATTGCGCCGCGAGGGCATGCCGCCGTTCAAAGCGTTCATGTGGGGCCAGCTCAGCGGTCTCGTCGAGCCCATTGGCGGCGTACGTTCGTCGATGCTCCGTCGCCTTTGTCTCATGCGCTTGTCCGTAGCTGCTCGGCGCATTTGCCGTCGTGTACGTCCAACCAATTTTGCCGTACGCGCTCTCGTTTGCGGCCGGCGCCATGGTGTTTGTGGTCGTCGACGACTTGATTCCCGAGGCGCACCAGAGCGGCAACGCCAAGCTCGCGACCATCGGGACCATTGTCGGGTTCATTGTGATGATGACCATGGACGTCGCCCTCGGCTAGCACGCCGTACAGTGCGGTTAGAGGACACATTGTACAGTGTACACATCGTAGTACTAGTGCTCTCTACTAAAGTTTCTACCAAACGGCAACAGGAAGATCGCAACGCTGCGATCTTGAGCGGTTGCCTGTTTATCTTTGGCGTTCGAAAATGCAAAGTCGCGGGTCTTGTATCTTTGGATACTGAAACACCTGGCCCAAATATCCACCGAGGTCGTAGGATGAGGATGGTGCGCAGCTTGTGCATGGCGGCCATAGTCGCGGCGACCGCGTCGGCCATGCCGGCGTACCCACCGGGCGTCCGCTTGGAGCTCACACGCCTCGCGTCGACGCACGAAGAGGTGATGCTGCAGTCGCTCAAGGAGAACCCTGCGGCCGTCGAGATGAGCCTCGTGCTCGGCCAAGGGGTGCACTCGGTCGAGATCTTTTTCGGGCACCAGAAGCGCCTGCTCATCGTCGACACGGGCAGCGCCGACACGGCCTTTCCGTGCACGGGCTGCGTCGACTGTGGCGCTCGGCACACCAACCCGCTCTACGTCATGGGCGACAGCGCGTCGTACCTCTCGTGCGCCGACAACAAGAAGCGCGGCTTCTCGCCATGCAAGTCGTGCACGAGCGACGAACATTGCGCGTTCGCCGAAGAGTATGTCGAGGGCTCGGGCTGGAAAGCGCTCAAGGTTCAGGACACTGCGTACTTTGAGGACCGCCCGGATCTGAGCGCGAATCTCGTCTTTGGCTGCATGCAGAGCGAGTCCGGCGCCTTTCTCTCGCAGCGCGCCGACGGCATCATGGGCATGAGCCAGGACCCGGACGCGGTCCACGTCCAGTTCTTCATGGATGGTGTCACGACGCTCCGCGGCTTCTCGCAGTGCATCGCCGAAGACGGCGGCTCGATGGTGATTGGCGGCCTCGACGTCTCGCGCAACCTCCCGTCCGAGACCATGGTGTTTACACCGCTCCGGGACACGGGCTACAGCTACTGGACGGTCTCGCTCGAGTCGATATCGGTCGGCGGCCACCAAGTCGACGTCGACACGAGCATCTACAACGCACACCGCGGCTGCGTCTTTGACAGCGGCACGACGTTTGTGTACATTCCGAGCGCGGCCAAGGCGGGGTTCCAAAAGCAGTGGACAGCGGCCGTCGGCGAAGACTCGGAGCACGCGGCGTACATTGATGGCGGCGACTACACGCTGTCGCGGCTCGAGCTGCAAGCGCTTCCGAGCATCTGCTTCCAGTTTGCCAACGACGCCAGTATGTGCATCCCGCCGACGCAGTACATGGTGCACGACTTTGGCGACACGTACACCGCCACGATCTTCTTTCAGGACTTTGCACAGGCGACCATCATTGGCGCGTCGATGCTGCAGGACCACAACATCATGTACGACATGGACAACCACCGCATTGGCTTTGTGCGTGCGCACTGCGGCAGCAACAGTAAGCTCGAATCGGTCGCGCTCGTGACGGCGCTCGGCGGCGACGCGTTCACGCCCGAGTGGAGTGTCGCCAAGTTGCTCAGCGATATACCGGCCATCACGGGCTTTGTGTTTGGCGTGGGCCTCCTCCTCTTTGTGAGCGAGCTCTACGCCGCGGTGTCGTCCTACAAACGCGCGCCGTCGGCGCCCCGGCCATTGCAGGAGCCGCTGCTCGAAGGCTCGCACGAGGCTTGCGCCGAAGGACTCATCTTCGGCGACAGCGACACCACCTCGTTTGCGCTGCACTCTGTCTAGCTCTCGCAGATTCGTAGATATTCGCGCTCACTACCAACACTCGACAACTACGATCTTATGCATACACGTGTGACCTTCATTCGTGTTGTGAGCGACCAAGGCCATGGCCGTGCCTCAAGAACGCCGCCACGAGTGCTCTCGTTGGCATGTGACGAGATCTGGATCGTCGCACATGTACAAGTAGCTTCTTGCCACGTGTCCGAGTATCTTGGCGATTGGTGGGCGTGGCTGGCCGCGTCAGGACGGTCCACAGCACAACCGCTGCAACGTACGAGAGGTGAAAATAGGAAGAAGAAGAAGAACTAGTGTCTACGACACCCGCCACGCGAGTGTGCACGAATCTTGACAGCATCTTGCGCCCGTGGACGGTGCGAAAATGTCGAAAGATCGCGGGCTTCGAAAAAGGGCTGCTTTTGATTGGGCGAGATTGTCGGGTTTGGTTCGGAATGGACCAATCCACGTGATCGATACACCGAAATCTTTCCATTTTTAGCCACTCTTTTTCTGAAATCCTTTCTGCGACGTTGCCAACTCGGAAGATCTCCCGCCGCAGAGTGCAAATATGCTGGTGGGCATCAAGACCGAGAACACGCTCGTGAGCATGCAGCCTGCGGGGAACACAAGCTGTGCCAAGCCACCCACGCCCAAGCCTGCCCACAACGAAGGCCGATGGACCGACGCCGAGCACGGCCTTTTCCTCGACGGCCTTCGGAGGTACGGGCGGCAGTGGTTCAACGTCGGGAAGGTCGTCAAGACGCGCAGCGTGACGCAAATCCGCACACATGCACAAAAGTACTTTGCCAAGCAAGAGAAGGAGGTCAACTCGATGCTGCAGACGATGACCACCAAGGCCAAGACGCCACGGAAGCGCGCTGATGCGTCCGAGGCGCCGGTCGTGTCGCCTTTGGCAAAACGTCATGGCTCTCTGCACCACAAGATGTCGCACAAGACTATGGACGGGCTGCATGTCGTGCTGTTGGCGGTCGAAGCTGCCTCGTCGCCCGACTTTAGCGACCGACGTTACGTGCTCCAGAGCTTCCTAAAACAGCCCATGTCGAGTGTCGTGAGCTCCAAGATCAAGCACTTGATCAACGACGTTGCCGCGTTCGTTCGGCGGCGAGAGAAAGCCTCCGACGCGTTGCACCTCGGCGACATGCACATTGCAATCGACAGCGGTGCGTACATGACGGTGGAGAGCGCGGTCACTGCGCTGCTCGTCCGCCTCAAGACGCTCAAGTCGACAGCGACCGCGACGTTGGCGCAGCAGCTAGTGCTGCAGGAGCTGCCCCAGCTCTTCCTTACGAACGCGTGGCCAATGCGGCCATCGGTACCGTCGAGTCCACCAAGCGTCATGATTCCGGTGCTCAACCCGCAGCCGTCGCCCATGGCGCTCAAACTCCCGCGCCTCGCCGACTGGGCACCCACGTCGTCGTCGGCGGCGGCATTTGGCGACGACCAGTGTATTGCGATATGACACTGAATTTTGAAATGTTGAAAAACGTCTCTTGCGATCGCCAGACAGAATGGGTTGCCAGTAGTAGCCAAGTCGCTCGACCGTAAAGCTAGCTCGATGCGGTGGTCAGCGTGCTTGGGGTTGCGCCAAATATTAGCGCCGCCAGCACGACGGCGCGCTGGCCTCTGGCAACTGCCTCTGGGGGCGATTGTGGTGGTCTGGGCGGAGAAGCTACGGGTGCTTCCGCGCCCCCAGCTGCCAGCGCGGACGCCACCAACCACCTCGCAATCCAGCGCTGCTGCAGGCCCTCGCGAGCGACAACGTTGGGTGCTCTCGGCGCGTCCTCAATGGCGTGACGAGTGGCGCGTCAGGCAGGCGCGCGGTGTTGGCGCGGGCGACGCGGCGCGGGACGTCCGGATGTGCATCCGGCGGCTCTAAATTTTCATGTATGTGGGACAAGCCGCGAGCCTCCGATTGGCCTTTCCGCGAGCATTCTCCACACTTCTTGGTCGAGAAGATTGGGTCAGTTCCTTCAACGTGGCCAGCATTTCTGCCACCACTACCATGTCGTCGTCGTCGTCGCAGTGGCCGCCGCAGCACGGCGGGCCGCTGCTCGGGTACCGCGGCAAGTGCAAGTACAAGAGCGGTCGGTGCATGAACGAGCGGACGCTCAAGGAGAATGGCGAGCCGCACACACTCTGCGAGCCGCACCGGTTGCAACACAACAAGAACCAGCGCAAGTCGGACATCAAGCGCCGCCGCCTCAAGAAGCTGCAAGCGCCGACCAATGCAAGCGTCCAGCGGCTGCTGCATGCTGAGAGCATGGCGCGACGCACGACACCGACGCACGCGACGTCCATGGTACACCCGATCACGTTTGCCCCACCGGACGCAAGCCATGAGGACCAGCACAGCGCGAGGAGCAGCGATGTACAAAGCACCAGGGACGATGCCTACAGCGACTACAGCGACGCCAAAATGCACTCACCGGACGCACAAACCTCCTTCAACTACAGCTGGACCCGGCCACCGCCGCCGGGCAAGATGGAGATGCGGCGCACCATAGAGTCCCCGATGCTGCCACCTCTCCAAGCGTCCATGTCCTATCACAACGCCACCAACACGAGCGCCTATCCTTCGGCCGACCGGTGGCTGCCACCGATGGCGCAGGCGGCGCACGTGGCGATCAAGCAGGAGCCGCCCGACGAGGCCAAGCCGCCGCCGCCACCGCCGGGTGCCGGTCTCCCCGACGGGTGGTCGCACGAGGACCTTGTCATCTTGACCGAGATGGTCGGTCTCCAGCAGTCGTCGTCGTCGGCGTCGTCGCGCCAGTCGTCGTGAGCGTCGGTCGTATTTATTTGCCAGTTTTGTTGTGTGCTATGCGTTTTAAACATATAAACCACGTGTCGTTTGTTTGCATGTTTAAAACACGAAACCATCTTCCAGATACCATTCCACGAGACCCAAGCAACCATGGCCATGCCCGGGCGGACGACCGTGCGCCTCATGCCCGCCCACATGCGCTTCGTCAACGGCGTCTCGCGTGCGTACGACGACGAGTTCCCGCACGAGCTGCGCCATCTGGTATGCAACACGCGCCCACGCGTGGATTTTTGTTGAGGTTGTAGGTGGACGAGACGCAGTTCAGCCACGCCATCAACCAGATCAACAACACGCTCACCGACTACTGGCCGTGCCTCTTCTGCGTCTGCTATGGCTACGCGTGCTGCGTCTGCACCGGCGGCCTCTCGCTCCTCTGCCCCCACATGTGCATCAGCGACGTCCGTGCCGCCTTCAACACCACCACCGACGACGCCTGATCCAACCTTGTTGTAGGCAGAGCAGTACGCCCGGACGCTCATCGACCGCATCAACCACCGCCCGTGCTTTCAAGACGTCGGCGTCGAGTGGAAGTTTGTCAAGCGCTGCGGGCGGTCCTGGGTACGGCGACTGTCTCGCCTCGTCGGGCTTTGAGCTTCATTTTAGATTGAGATTTCGTTTCCTACTACCAACTACTCCAAGGTACACATGCTCGACTCGGCATCAAAATAACACAACATGAGTAGAAGGGCGACGGTGGCACCTACCAAAAGGTGCTAATCGCGAGCCCGACCTCGAGCAGCCGCACCACGGACGAAGCGTCGCCGACGCTCTTGTGAGTGTAGTGGAAAGAGAATATATTAGTCGACTCGACTACTGGATCGTGAGAAAGCCACGCAGCGAGTTGCGGAACTGGCCGAGCTTTTGCGTAAACTTGTCGCGGTTCGAGGCCTCGAGGGACTGGAGAATGTCGCTGTAGAGCTTTGCAAACGCCTCTTCCACGAGCACCTTGTTGGCGTCGTTGGCCTGCGACGACGCCAGGTTTTGCTCGTACGCCTGCAGCGCGTCCGGGCTGCACAGCGAGAGGCTCAAGATCGGTCGCGAGAGCGCCCACTGCGACGACGCGTCGCCGTAGATCAAAATGTTGAAGAGCGACGACAGTAGCGTCGACCAGAGGTTGGGCGACGCCTGCAAGTGACTCAAGAGCAAGTGCTTGAGCTGCGAGTCCTTCTTCTTCTTCGTCTCCGTATAAAAGAGCGACGCGAGGTGGTCCACGGCCGTCGCGCACTGCGCCGCGATCGTCAAATCGTACGAGTTGACGCCTTCGTGGAGCGACTGCACGAGCTGCGAAAACACACTAACGTCCAGCGCGACCACCGAGAGCAGCTGGTTGCGGAAGAGGATCTCGAGGAAGAAGAAGTACGCGTTCTTGACCTTGGGGTAGTTCTACGCCACCGATCGAGATAAGTATCAATGTATCAAATGGCAACGTACGATGAGGTCGTCGATCGGAATCGAGAGCGCCATTTGGAGCGACACCTCGAGCGCACGGTCCCACGCAGCGTCGTTGTAGAGTTTGAAGACGCCAAAGTTGACATAATTGCCCCCTAGACAAATATCAAGTTTGTATCAATCGAGAGCAAACCAATGGGAGTACCGAGCGCGCGAAAGAGAATGCCGAGGCAGAGCGAAATGCCCTTGTACTTTTCTGCGTACGGGTCCCGGAGCGCGCGGTTGTTCTGGAGCACGCGCGACCCGTAGGCCACAATCACTTGGCTGAGCTCGCGGAAGAGGAGGATGCCGTTGGGCGAGCTCTGGTCAAAGACGACGCGCTGGCTCTTGTTGTACGCAAGCTCTTGGAGAAACTTGAGGAGCGCGTTCATGACCGACGGCGTGTCATACCACACGTCGGCCGCTTTCGCAAAGATGGGCATGTACGTCGGGTAGAGCAAATCAAACATGCAGTTGTACGTGCGCTTGTTGTGCGTCGAAATGAAGACGCCGCGGAGGTCGCGGCAGACGCCAATGATCGCCTCGCGCACGTCCGGCTGGCGGTAGTTCTGCACGTGCATGAGCGTGTTGAGCACGTCTTCCATGGGCTTGACAAAGTCCTCAAACCGGTCCGAGCTCTCGTCAAACGCGGTCGTGAAGAGGAGCCGCGAGATCGTCGAGTGAAAGCTTGTGCGGTGGCGCGTGTTGCTCGGGATTGCGAGAAACGGAAACTCGTCGGCCGTGTGGTGGCCAATGAGGTACTGCACCGTGTCGAGCCCGAGGAGGAGCTTCCCGGACGAGTAGCCCGACGCAATGTCCAGAAAGAGCGTCAGCGTGCTGCTGATGACCTTCTCTTCGTCGCCCCAAAACTTGAGGTCTTGGCCAATGTGCGTCACAATCATATTGACAACGACCGTGTGGTCGCCGTAGCCCATGCGCTCGAACATGCGCTGGTACGTCTTGGTCTTGAGCGACATGCTCGAGTCCGACGGCGACATGCCGAGGAGCGGGTTCGAGAGCGGCGAGGCCACGGGCGACGCGGCGAGGGTCGGCGTCGGCGCCGACGGCATGCCGTGCTGCTCGCCAATGTAGCTCCGGCGGAAAAAGCTGAAGTAGTGCAAGAACGCGAGCTCGAGGTGGACGTGGCACTTGGTGCGGCCGCCGGACGAGATCAAGCGGTGCTCGACAATCTTCATGGTGGCAAAGACGCGGTTGCTGAGGTCGGCGTCGACGACTTCGTCGCCGTCGGCGGCTTGGGGCGACGCGTACGAGTGGCCGCCGATGATCGAGCCGACAATGTAGACGAGCCACGCGAGCTGCATCTCGAGGCCGTGCATGCCGCGCGCGAGCGAGTCGTCGTCGTCGTCCATGCGCGCGTCCATGGCGAGCGCGGCGGCTTCGCGGTACTGGGTGAGCGTCGTGTCGAAGACGGTGAGGAGGTACTCGCCGACGACACGGTAGTTGTAGTGGCAAATCGTTGGTAATTTATCAAACTGCTCGGCTAAGCTACCCTCGTCGCCGAGCGGGTCGTCGACCGCGTCATCGGCGGCGACGGCCAGCGCCGAGTCCAGTCGCGACTGCACGTACGACTGCACAATGCGCGGAATCGAATTGTCGAGAAACGCAATCGACGCCGCGCCGTTGCGCTCCGTGCGCACGTACGGGAGCGCCGCGACGAGGCGCGACCAGAGACCGAGAAGGTAGTGCACCGAGTTGGCCGACCACTGCCACTGCGTAAACGACTTGACCGTAAACTCGGGCGTGAGCTCCATCCACTCTTGGAACGACTCGGCCTTCATGAGCTCCGAGAGCTGGTAGTTCGACTTGAGGCGGCTCAAGAGACGGCAAAACTCGTGGTAGTTGGCCGGGTCCGAGAGCCCCTGCTGCATCGAAATGATGCGGCAAATGCCCGTGAGGAGGCGCGAGAGAAAGGCCGCGCGCTCCTGGTCCGGCGAGAAGAGCGACCGACGCACGGACGCAAGGAGCATGAGCGTCTCCAAGCAGCGGGCCGCGTTGGGCGACGCCGCCGTCGACGTCGTGTGGTAAAAGTCAAAGAGCAGCGACATGGTCTCAGGCTCTTGGATGATCGCGCGCCATGTCGTCGGGACTTGGAGCGCGCCCGCATCTTCGGCCGACTCGTCGGGGTTGATGCCGATAAAGTCAAAGGACAGGCACTTGATCGCGAGGCCGAGCGCATAGTCGGCCATGCGGTTCTCCTGGTCGGGCGTCGCGCCGGGAATGCTCTTCATGTGCAGCGTCTTGACGGTCGTGAGCGCGACTTGGAAGATGTGGAAGAGCGACGCATCGCGAAAGGCCACGGCGATCTTGCGATGGAAGGTAAGATTGCGGCCAGTCACGGGTTGGTTCATCTCGGTCACAAGCTCGTTGAGAATCTGGAGGCCAATGATGCAGTGGTCGACCGTCGCCTGGAGAAACTTGGAGACCTCGAGGTTGAGCTCGCGGAACTGCTCGTCGTCAAACCAGCCAAACTTGGTGAGGCGGCACACGAGCTGGATGAGCGAGACCGTCACGTACTTTTCGAGGCTCGGGCCCTTCTGCGCCAGGTACCCGAGCACGTAGTTGCGGATGTCGATGCGCTGCGACGGCGTAAAGTTGTTCCAGTGGGTCGTGATGAGCTTGGTCAGGCTCGTGCTCGCGACGAGGAGCGCGAGCATGTTGGTCGAGTTGTCGAGGATGTGCTGGCAGCGCGGGATATGCTCCGCCGAGCTCTGCAGCACCAGGACGCTCTGCTGCGCCATCGACCGCTCGCGCTCGTCGGCCGACTGGTACAGCGCGGTGCAGAGCATCTCAAAGTGCTGGAGCTCGTTCGCGTCCATGGCGGCTGCTTCCGAGACGACAATGTATGGATATGCGTCGAAAGAGGTCCCCCAAAAACGGACCTCGCTGCCACGCCCCACGTTTCCTTATAAAATATGGCTTTTCAGAGGTCACCCTTCGCTGCCTTTTGACCAATCGCATTGCAAGATTCCATTTTCAACAACGGCGATTGGCCAAAAATGAGTGCGCCAGTTTGTTCCCAGCAACTGCGACGACGACGGACGACTTGCAGTTGCACAACCCACTCCGACTCCTTCAATGCAGCGCTGTGCTCGCGTTCGACTTTAGTTTATTTGCCGTCGACTAGACGAGAAGGCGACTGCTCTCGCATCGCAACCGCAGCGCTCCAGCACTGACGCAAGGCCGGTACGACCTAGCAACTCGATCGAAGCTACACGACAGGCCAGCTACATACTAGTACAGCCCGTAGGTAAAAGGGGCGGCAGTTGTTCCGTAAGTCGAAGCAGCGCCACGCAGCTACGCTGGCGCCCACAACCTGCGACGCAAGTTGAAGCTGGCGCCATGATCACGTCCACATATCTTCGCAGCAGCCATCGGATCCGCCTGAGCCGGATGCAAACGCCTGAAAGATCGAACGTTCGCGCGGCTTCCTTGGGCAACCTGATTTCCGAAGCTTCCGTGTGGTGCCCACAGCCCGCCTTGGGGTTGAACGAGTATGAACTATGCAAAAGCGACGACCTACTAGCGGACCTACTAGAGACACAGGACTCTTGTTGGTTGCCTTCGTCGTACCGCGCAGCGCGGCCGCCAGAGGCACTTCAACTTGGCGCCGGCGTTCGAAATCTGAACGTGAACAGGGTCGGAACGAGGTAATTTAATTCGTTATCTTGGTATTTGTAAGTGGAATAAAAGCTTCGTAATATATTTGACCGCTCCCGGTGGAGCTGGGTGCGAGCTCAGATCTCATTTGCCTTTTTGCCTCCAAGCCGCAGATGCAGCGCTCGATCATCGCGTCGCTCGTGGTCGTCGCGGCGAGCGCCATGGACGTCCAGACCGCGCACCACATCACAGACATGCCCAACTACAACGACAAGGCGCCCATCAACTTCAACCAGTTTGCGGGCCACATGCCATTGCCATCGAACGGCCAAAAGATGTTTTACTGGCATGTCGAGTCCCAAGCCAACCCGTCCACCGACCCGCTCGTGCTTTGGCTCAATGGCGGCCCCGGGTGCTCGTCGCTCGGCGGCTTCTTCACCGAGCTTGGGCCGTTCGTCGTCGAGAGCGACCTTAGCGTCAAGCGCAACAAGTACGGCTGGAACCGCAAGACCAACATGGTCTTTCTTGAGTCGCCGTCCGGCGTCGGCTTTAGCCAGCCCTTCCTCAACGCCTCCGACTACAACGACGCGTTCACGACCGCGCGCGCGCGGGAGTTCCTCGCCGAGTTTCTCGTCGCGTACCCGTCGTACGCCGGCCGCGACTTTTACATCACGGGCGAGAGCTACGGCGGCATGTACATCCCGTACCTCGTCGACGCGCTTTTGACGGCGCCGATTCCCGGCCTCAACCTCAAGGGCTTTGCGATCGGCAACCCGTACACGGACGAAGCCATCGACAACGAAGCGTACCTGGACTACTACTACACGCACGGCATGATCTCGATCGAGGCGTACACCGACATCCAGGCAAAGTGCAATTTCAACGGTCTCGCCAAGTTTGCCGGTGTCTTCTCGGACCGCTCGAGCAACGACTCGTGCGCGGTGGCGGTCTCGGAGGGCATGGTGCAAGCTGAAACGGACAAGCTCAACGGGTACTACATCTACGGCGACGTGTGCCTCCTCCAGAACGACCAAGGCAACACGCTGCAGTACCGCGACATTCGCCCGCTGCACCGCGGCCCGTACGCGCCGTGCACCGACCAGTTTACGCAATCCTACTTGCGCTTGCCGCAAGTCCAAGCCGCGATCCACGTCTCGGGCAGCCACGTCGAGTGGAAGAACTGCGCTGGCCACGCTGCGATCAACTACACGCGGAGCAAGTCGTCGCTGCCGTTGTACCCGCGCATTCTCAACGCGAACCTCAAGGCGCTCATCTACAGTGGCGACGCCGACTCGGTCGTCAACTTTATCGGGACGCAGCGCTGGATCACGTCGAGCGGTCTCAAGCTCAACGTCGTCGACAAGTGGAAGGCGTGGTTTGGCCCGGACAAGCAGCTCGCGGGCTACACGGAAGCGTACCAAGGCCTCAACTTTACGACGGTCAAGGGCGCGGGCCACATGGTGCCTGCGGTGCGCCCACTCCACGCGCTCTACATGTTCGAGTGCTTTGTCTACGGCCAAGAGACTTGCAACACGTTTGCGTACCCCAAGGACAACTTGGAGTATTTGACGGGCGCCGACGTCACGTACACGAACGACGATGACGACGATGACGCGACGACGCAGGCGACGCTCTCGTCGGGCGAGTCGAGCATGAACTGGGGCCTCTTTGCCGTGGCGCTTATCCTCGTTGGCACGATCATCTCGGGCGCTGTGTTTGTCATGCGGCGGCGCGCCAAGAAGCGCGAGTACGCGGACCTCGAGGAGAAGACACCGTTGACGTGCTAGTCGTTCAATCCAAAGTACTTGGATCTCGACTAGTCGAGCGAGTGTAGCCGATCGGTATGGTTTGCAGTCGTACGTTGGTTAAGTAATCGGTGAGGATCGAGTGCGTTCGTCAGAAAATGGAACGAGAAAGACGTGGCTCCGGTGGCACTAGCTACTGCAATGACGACGCTCGGCTGATTCCGGAGTCTCACTTGCAGATGAAGTCTTCTTTGCCCGTCCTTCACGCCCTAAATCGCACTGCGACCTCCAGTCGCAGACGCCGCCACGCGCGGTAGAACATAAGAAAGCTTTGTCCAGGGCTGAGATATCCAAGCACGCTGCTGTCCTGCCTGCTCAACATTGTCTTTGAGCTTACGGTTTGTATTAGTATAGTAACCGCAAATGAAAAATCGAATCCAGGGGTAGGGGTTGAACCAGCGCCGCATAAACACGGTACGGAGATAGTACGCAATGCGACACCCGCATATCCCCTTGTCGAAGCAGCTGCGCCTCGTTCGTAGGCCATTTCGACCTCGAAAGGCTCCCACCAGCTCCAACGCGCGTGCTTGGGTGCTTGACGGTCGCCCAGCGTTTGACATGGTCTCCACACCGGGTACTATTGGATAGAACGGGCAGCAACAGAGTACAACTTGGTCGCGGTCGAATATGACACAACTCGCCCCATGGGTGCCGTCCACTGTGCTCATCTGGACGATGGTGACCGGCAAGGTGCTGCTACTACTACTACTACGAGCTTCTTTACATGCATCGCTGTCCAGCGATCTCGCCATCTCGCTCACCACAGTAATACCAGCGCACCACGCTGCAGTGCACAGGTTCAACTAAGAACCACGTGGCCCAGCGCCGATCGCGATCCATCCACACAGTGGGATGCGTCCAGCTGCGCGCAACCGTCAATTGCCGAATCCAAGTACACTGGCCCTTCGCCTTCCCTTCCAGAATGTCTATTTGCCGCTGGAAGGCATCTGGAAGGATCGAGTACTTTTGTGATCATACCGGTAGTCCTCTCCAAATGCGATTGCATCGTCATCCTTGGGCTCACAGCGCGGGCGGAGGGGCAAGTTGCTCGTGCAGGGGCGACTACGGCGGACGATTCAGCGTCGGAGAGTCGACGCATCAAGAAAAGCAGGCGACGGACGCGGACCAAGTGTTGGCCAAGATGGTCAGGTCCAGAATAGAGCTGGTGTCGCATTACTGTGGCTTCTTGAGCCCTCGAGATTGGGTGCAAACGTACTTGCTTAAGGCAATTGACTGTCAGATGGCCTTCTTGAGCCAATCGGCGGCGAGATTGCCATCCGGCGACTCGGCCCCATCTTGTGGCTGCGCTGCATTGCCACGGTCAGTATATCTTTGGCATGCTGGCGCTCGTACTACTCTTGCTCGCGTGCTCGGCGGTCGCCGCCAAGGACGGCGCCCACGCCCACGCCATCGAGGCCCTCCCTGGCTACGACGACGCCAAGCCCATCAACTTTAACCAGTACGCCGGCCACCTCGTCCTACCCTCGAACGGCCAAAAGATGTTTTACTGGTTCGTCGAGTCCGAGTCCAACCCCGAAGTCGACCCGCTCGTGCTCTGGCTCAACGGCGGCCCCGGCTGCTCGTCGCTCGGCGGCTTCTTCACCGAGCTCGGGCCGTTCGTCGTCGAGAGCGACCTCAGCGTCAAGCGGAATCCGTACGCATGGAACCGCAAGACCAACATGCTCTTCCTCGAGTCGCCGGCTGGCGTCGGCTTTAGCCACCCGCTGCTCAACGCGACTGAGTACAACGACGCGACGACAGCCGACCGCGCGCACGAGTTCCTTCGCCTCTTCTTTGACGAGTACAGCGAGTTCAAGAACCGGCCGCTGTACATCACGGGCGAGAGCTACGCGGGGCAGTACATCCCGTACCTCGTGGCCAAGCTCATCGAGTCGCCGCTCGACGGCGTCAGCCTCGAGGGCATGGCGATCGGGAACCCTGTCACGGACGACGTCATTGACGGCAACGCCTACATGGAGTACTACTACACGCACGGCATGATCTCAATCGAGACGTACGACGAGCTCCGGTCGATCTGCAAGAACGACGTTGGCAAGTACGCGGGCTTGTACGCCGACACGCCGTGCCTCAAGAACCCCAACGTCACGTGCGCCAACGAGTGCGAAAACCTCGTCCGCGACGCGATCGCGTCAGTGCAGACCGACAACCTCAACCCGTACTACATTTACGGCGACGTGTGCCTCTTGCAAAACAGCCAAGTCGGCGCGCTTCAGTATCGCAAGCTCGCGAGCGGCCACCGTGGCCCATACGCGCCGTGCACCGACAAGTTTACCGAAAAGTACCTTCGTCAACCCAGCGTCCAAGCAGCAATCCACGTTTACGGCGGCGTCGTCCCGTGGACCGACTGCAACGAGCAGATCGCGGGCATGTACACGCGGAGCTCGTCGGCGCTGCCGTTGTACCCGCGCATCCTCGCGACAGACCTCAAAACACTCATCTACAGCGGCGACGCCGACTCGGTCGTCAACTTTATCGGCACCGAGCGCTGGATCTCGCGCCAAGGGCTTCGCCTCAACGTGCTGAAAAAGTGGCATGCGTGGTTTGGCCCGGACAAGCAGCTCGCCGGCTACACGCAGCAGTACGACGGCCTTACGTTTTCGACGGTGAAAGGCGCGGGCCACATGGTCCCCGCGACGCGGCCGCTGCATGCGCTCTACCTCTTCGAGTGCTTCGTGTTTGGCGACGAACTCTGCCGCGGCTTTGAGTATCCCAAGGACAACCTCGAGTACCTCAGCGGCGAGGACGTCTCGGTCGACACGTCCGAGGCGTCGCTCATGTCGACGGCCGTGCGCCGAACGGTGCACGCGTACGTCGAAGAGGGCTCGCGCTTTGGCAGTCTTCTCGTGCTCGCGGGCGTCATGCTTGTCGTCTTCATCGCGATGAAGCAGTGGCGCCGCGACGCCAAGAGCCCCGACTACTACGCGCACTTGACGGCCACGAACGTGCCCAAGTACGGCGACGATTGCTCGTGCAGCAGCCCGTGAGAACCGTACTCGTCGTCTTCATCTTCTTTGTGTATCTAACATATCACCATTCGAATCGAGTCGCTCAGTTGCCAAACGATTAGTCGTTTTTCGACTATAAACACATGTGTTCTGCAAGGAGTGGTTGGAAACGAGTGCGATAGTTCGGTATGATCAATGCCCACATTCTGCCGACGTAAAACGCAACGTGCGATGGCAACGCTGAGGGCTTTGTTCATAGACTCAACACTCACAGTGGTCAAGCAAGAAGAGCAAAAAGGTACACCACGTGAGGTACATGTACTGTACTTGTGGACGATGCTGTTCAAGATCTTATTTTGACATCCGGATAACACCACCAGAAGATCGCAACGTGTGGATGTTGCAGGAAAGAGGCCTGCTACAGCCTCGACGCATACTAGTATGTCGCCAAACCGGTGCCAGTAGTCTCAACTTGGCAAATGCATCGGTGCCT